TGTGTGTGTGTGTGTGTGTGTGTGTGTGTGTGTGTGTGTGTTTTAAAGGGAAAATACAAATTCCTCCAGCAAGTGTTTATTGCTTGCCACCAGAGGGCAATATAACACTAATCTCTAATCCTCTAATGCTCTTATCATTATTTCATTCTACAACTATAAATGGATATTGTTTTTTCTCTCCTTCCAATTTCATTTTTTCTGATATATTTATATTGTATATATTTATATTCACATATCTTTAATATAAACAATTCCATAACAATATTCACAATTATAAAAAAATAGATACAGGCCTATTAGAAACCAAAGACAAATGTATTCAAATACAATTTACAGAGAAAGACAAGTGATTTCTAGGCAAATACTAGAAAATAAATGAATGCCTAAAATGCCTACATCGTGAAGAGGGTAAGCAGCAGAGTAGGTGCCATTACTGAGAAGTCTTTTGATTCCAAACTTCCTCTTCCCTTCTTCTGTTCCATATAGGCACCTTGTTAAAATATAAAAAACCTAGAAGGGGAAAGAATTCCATATTTAAAATTATTGCAATATTATTTAAATGAGAATATAAAACTTTTCTTCATCCTCTGGTGAAATTTAACATTAATTTTGATTAGTTACTCATACTAATTATGTGATTAAACTCTGAGGCTCTTTCTAAATACTTCTTGCCCTTTATAAGAGGAAGCAAGTTTTTCCTAAGATAAATGTTGGTTTGCAAGAATGTTATTGCTTTTGCTGTTTTAGTTTTCCAGTTGGGAATCTAAACAACTGAATAGCAGCCACACCACCTTGTTTTTCCAATATCTTTGTGAAGAAGTAGAAAAACAGTATGACTCTCCTATTAGGGAGATAGTCCTTGACTTACAACCACAACTGAGCTCACAATTTCTGTTGCTAAGCAAGACATCTGTTAAGTGAATTTTGCCCCATTTTACAACCTGCCTTGCCATGGTTGTTAAGTCAATCACTGCAGTTGTTAAGTTAGCAACATGGTTATTAAGTGAACCTGGCCAGAAAGTAGCAAAAGGGAACCCCATGACCTCAGTATATTGCAACCGTCATAAATATGAGTCAGTTGCCAAGTGTATGGATTTTGATCATGTGAACCATGGGGAAGCTCCAATGGTCACAAGTGTGAAAAACAGTCATGTCACTTTTTTCAGTAACTTGGAATGGTCACTAAATGAACTGTTGTAAGTCCAGGACTACCTGCATTCATTTGACCACATACAATTGTGTGCCTGTTACAACTCTGCAAACTTTCAAAGAGCTGGCTTGTTTGATGATGCTTCTGCCTTTGAAGCTGCTTGGAACAGCAATGCTCCTCTACACTTCTGAAGGGCCTAGCGACTTGCAACCATTCCATTCAAATAATGAGAAAAGACAGGAAACACATCAATGAAATAAACTGGCAAAGAGTACTCTCCTTGAAAAAAAAATTGCCTAAAGTGCTGGCTATCATAAGTCTGGAGGCTATGGCAGTGTTTTGGCAACACAATAAGAAAGGCATTTAGCTGAGAATTCACCCTGCTGAATCCTCCCATATTTGGGCCTTCTGCAATTGCTGAGTCATCCCTTGTACTTTAATTCAGGGTGAGTCATATCATTTAAATACAAAGGAAAGGCCGTTTCTGCCTAGAATAACCAAGGGAAGTAAAGCATATGCCATTTTATGATTGGGGTGCTTTTTCTCAAATGATTCTGTGTGACAAAACTAACCAACCACAAGCTAACAACGCTACAGCATTAGGGGCAATTTGACAGCCGTCCCCACAGGCATATGTTGTGTTAGGCAGCATGTTGCCATCTAAGCCACAAGCTGACTTATTGCATTACACGATCACTGAATTGGCAAATGAAGTACTCACTATTCTGTTTCTGACAGATGGGGAGAAAAACGTATTCTCATCTTCAATGAGGTACAATTCCTGTCTTTCTTTGCTAAATGGTGCTGTAAAGTAGTCGGGTTCAGGGTGCATCACAATCTCTGGTAGCCTAAATGGCCAGGATATGCACTCCAAGGGGTTCTCCACCGCGCAAGGAATATCATTCTCCTTGATGGGCATTTTGATGTTGAGCACTTCTGCATATGTGATCAGAATTTCCCACGGGGCGTGAATCTTCACAAAATACGTTTTGCCATTTTCAGACTCCTGCAAATGAAACAGTAAAGGCTTGATTGTAAACTAAGCAATTTGCCCTCCAAAGGTTTGGTAACAGATACAAGGTCTAAGAAGTTGGACAACTACCCTTTTCATCCCCATGTAAAATCAGGAAGGACAACGTCCTCTGAATATTTAGTGTTTATGAATGTTCTATTTTTCTCCCAGCACATATTGATCTTGCTAGTCTTCTAGGGTGATTCATCCATACTTGGATGAAGCTTGCAGCATTTCAGAAAGAGTCCAAAATGAACAATTCCTGGAACAGCCAGGATGAAAAAAAATTGGGAAGGGGAGGAGCAATCTAAAACATTCTGGGACTAAAAATGAAAAATTTCAAACATTTCCTGCATTGTACTTTAATCAGAGGTGGGTTGCTGCCAGTTCGGCCGGTTTGGCCAAACCGGTAGTGGAATCTAGGCCTGGGTTGCAGAACCGGCAGCGACCGAGGCCTGAACACGACCCTGAATTGGTTCCCTTGCTGCTGCTTGGGCATTGCCATTTTGAATTTTAATGATTTTGTGTGCGCAATTCACTGTAAATTTTTCTGCGCATGCGCAGACAACAATTTACATAAAATAGTGTATGTGCATAGCATGCATCTGGCACATGCGTGCACACGTTACACAAGGGTTGCGAATTGGCAATAACGCTGGCAGCAACCCACCCCTGACTTTAAAACTTTACTAGTATACTTTTTAGAATCCAAGGCAGAAAAAGTTAGTCACGCTTAAATCACTAGGATTTAAATTAGTTATCACTAATTTCATTGGAATTATGGAAAATGGAAGAAAACAACAAAGACTAATTTTCAGCTATCCGGATAAGTGTTGACTAAGGAGATAGATAGATGATGATAGATAGATAGATAGATAGATGGATGGATGGATGGATGGATGGATGGATTCATATGAATAAGATTTCAAATTATTTCCTTTTGATTGCACCCACAATCTGAAAATAATTTCAGAGCCATTCAGACTGGGTGGAATTACTGATACATAGTATGTTAAATATTTACTTTATTGCATTTATTTATTTATTTATTTATTTGTATTTTTGTATATTTATTGTATTGTTTTTATTTTATTTTATTTATTTATTTACTCACTCCCTTTGGAATGAGCTGCCCCTGGAACTTTGCATAATTCCTAACCTCCAGTCCTTCCAGCGTGCCCTAAAAAATTGGCTTTTTCAGCAAACCACCCTGGCCTGAATAGAATAAATTAAATTATTAATTTTAAATTGTTAATTTTAATTTAATCCTAAATTTGATTTAAATTGTCAATTAAAGGTTATTGGATTTCCTACTTAATCTTTTTAAACTTTTGTTATGTGTGTTTTTATGTTGTATGCCACTTTGAGTCCTTTCGGAGAAGGGTGGCATATAAGTCCAATAAAATCAAACCAAACTCACTTACTTACTTATAAAATTTATACAGCTACCCACTCACTTTCAGTGAATTCTGGGCAGTTTACCAAAAATAACATATTGAAAATTGAGAACATTAAATAAAAGCAAGTTGGCTAATAGCTAAAATCAAGGTGGAAGGAGGGAGAAAAAGCAACCTTGTACAAAAAAATGTTACAATTTTTTTCTCAATAATCAGCTTTCCATCCTTCAAAGCAAAGGCCAGAAAACATTGAAAAATGCCTGGTTTTGCAACATTGTAATGTTCAACATTCCATTTCTTTCATGAAACCTTCCATTTATGTCCAAATATTTTTTGTCCCTGCAGTTCCCGGTTATGTTCTTAGCTATTCCTATTTCTTTGAGATTTTAGCAATATCACCTGATGGTAAATGGACAATATTTCATCCAGTTGAAAAAAATACTTATAATAAGTTCCATCCTGCATGGAATTCTCTGTAATCCAGGATAGACATAAAAGTATGATATAGAATTATGCAATCTCCCATTAACAAAAAAAGAATATTAATGCAATATCTCACAAAACTGAAAAAGACATAGATCAATTGTGGAGTATCCTTACATACTATAGTTCAGCGATGGCAAACCTTTTTTGGCTCACGTGCCATAAGTAGGGGTAGTGCAGAGAGGGTCGTATGTGGACGTGCCACACTCATAATGCAATGCATGACACACACACACACACACACACACACCCAGTGTGCATTTGCGCACTACAGGCGCTCCCCCCATTTTTTGCATGCTTCCCCCCCCCCCAAGCTCCAGAGGCTTTATAGGAGCCTGGAGAGGGTGAAAACAGCCCCTCCCGGAAGCCCTCCAGAGACCTTCAGGGAAGCCTCCTGGGGATCCCTGAAGCCTCTGGAGCAGTCAAAATGACCTTCCAAGCAAAGCGGAATTCACTTCCGGTTTGCTCGGAGGGTCGTTTTGAGCAGTCTGGAAGCTTCAGGGACCTTCAGGAGGCTTCCCTGAAGTCTCCAGAGCAGTCAAAATGACCCTCCGAGCAAACCGGAAGTCACTTCCACTTTGCTTGGAGGGTCGTTTTGAGCGCTTCGGCAGCCTCAGGGATCTTCAGGAGGCTTCCCTGAAGCCTTTGGAGCAGTCAAAACGACCCTCTGAACAAACCGGAAGTCCATTTCCAAACTTCCTGTTTGCCCATAGGGCCGGTTTTTTGAGCTCTGGAGGCTTCAGGGAAGCTCATGAAGCTTCCGGAGGGCCTCTGGGGGGCGGGGGAGGTTCTTTTCTCCCTCCCCAGGCTCCTATAAAGCCTCTGAAACCTGGGGAGGGTGCAAAATGGCTTTAAAAATGGTGAATTCAGCTGGCCAGTGTGCGCATGTGCGCTGTCCAGCTGACAGGGCAGCACCTTGCGTGCCCTGACAAATGGCTCCAGGTGCCACCTATGGCACGCGTGCTATAGGTTCGTCATCACTGCTATAGTTGCTTCACGGAGAAACTTGCTAGTTTTATTTTCTGATTACCATCTTCTATCTACAATGATAGCAGTATAAACAAACAAATCAAACATGCTGTTCAGCAAGCAAAGATCCCACTGCCCCCTATTTCTAGCGATTGTATTGCAAAAGTATTGCTCAATACTTTAAATCATTTATTTTAATCACTAACAACCCACAGTAATTCTTACCTTCTTATCTTCAGTTTCTAGTTCCAGACCTTTTTTTACTAGATTGCTCTCAAACGTTCGCCTTCGATCCTGAAAAACAAAACAGACAGTTGTTTCCTTTGATTCAACTAACATGAGTTTTAATGTACATCAACTTCTAAACATAGTACTTTTATATCATCTTTATGAATTATGTTACTTTTTCCAGATCAAACTTAAAGGAAGCCCATANTTATTGCATTTATTTATTTATTTATTTATTTGTATTTTTGTATATTTATTGTATTGTTTTTATTTTATTTTATTTATTTATTTACTCACTCCCTTTGGAATGAGCTGCCCCTGGAACTTTGCATAATTCCTAACCTCCAGTCCTTCCAGCGTGCCCTAAAAAATTGGCTTTTTCAGCAAACCACCCTGGCCTGAATAGAATAAATTAAATTATTAATTTTAAATTGTTAATTTTAATTTAATCCTAAATTTGATTTAAATTGTCAATTAAAGGTTATTGGATTTCCTACTTAATCTTTTTAAACTTTTGTTATGTGTGTTTTTATGTTGTATGCCACTTTGAGTCCTTTCGGAGAAGGGTGGCATATAAGTCCAATAAAATCAAACCAAACTCACTTACTTACTTATAAAATTTATACAGCTACCCACTCACTTTCAGTGAATTCTGGGCAGTTTACCCAAAATAACATATTGAAAATTGAGAACATTAAATAAAAGCAAGTTGGCTAATAGCTAAAATCAAGGTGGAAGGAGGGAGAAAAAGCAACCTTGTACAAAAAAATGTTACAATTTTTTTCTCAATAATCAGCTTTCCATCCTTCAAAGCAAAGGCCAGAAAACATTGAAAAATGCCTGGTTTTGCAACATTGTAATGTTCAACATTCCATTTCTTTCATGAAACCTTCCATTTATGTCCAAATATTTTTTGTCCCTGCAGTTCCCGGTTATGTTCTTAGCTATTCCTATTTCTTTGAGATTTTAGCAATATCACCTGATGGTAAATGGACAATATTTCATCCAGTTGAAAAAAATACTTATAATAAGTTCCATCCTGCATGGAATTCTCTGTAATCCAGGATAGACATAAAAGTATGATATAGAATTATGCAATCTCCCATTAACAAAAAAAGAATATTAATGCAATATCTCACAAAACTGAAAAAGACATAGATCAATTGTGGAGTATCCTTACATACTATAGTTCAGCGATGGCAAACCTTTTTTGGCTCACGTGCCATAAGTAGGGGTAGTGCAGAGAGGGTCGTATGTGGACGTGCCACACTCATAATGCAATGCATGACACACACACACACACACACACACACCCAGTGTGCATTTGCGCACTACAGGCGCTCCCCCCATTTTTTGCATGCTTCCCCCCCCCCCAAGCTCCAGAGGCTTTATAGGAGCCTGGAGAGGGTGAAAACAGCCCCTCCCGGAAGCCCTCCAGAGACCTTCAGGGAAGCCTCCTGGGGATCCCTGAAGCCTCTGGAGCAGTCAAAATGACCTTCCAAGCAAAGCGGAATTCACTTCCGGTTTGCTCGGAGGGTCGTTTTGAGCAGTCTGGAAGCTTCAGGGACCTTCAGGAGGCTTCCCTGAAGTCTCCAGAGCAGTCAAAATGACCCTCCGAGCAAACCGGAAGTCACTTCCACTTTGCTTGGAGGGTCGTTTTGAGCGCTTCGGCAGCCTCAGGGATCTTCAGGAGGCTTCCCTGAAGCCTTTGGAGCAGTCAAAACGACCCTCTGAACAAACCGGAAGTCCATTTCCAAACTTCCTGTTTGCCCATAGGGCCGGTTTTTTGAGCTCTGGAGGCTTCAGGGAAGCTCATGAAGCTTCCGGAGGGCCTCTGGGGGGCGGGGGAGGTTCTTTTCTCCCTCCCCAGGCTCCTATAAAGCCTCTGAAACCTGGGGAGGGTGCAAAATGGCTTTAAAAATGGTGAATTCAGCTGGCCAGTGTGCGCATGTGCGCTGTCCAGCTGACAGGGCAGCACCTTGCGTGCCCTGACAAATGGCTCCAGGTGCCACCTATGGCACGCGTGCTATAGGTTCGTCATCACTGCTATAGTTGCTTCACGGAGAAACTTGCTAGTTTTATTTTCTGATTACCATCTTCTATCTACAATGATAGCAGTATAAACAAACAAATCAAACATGCTGTTCAGCAAGCAAAGATCCCACTGCCCCCTATTTCTAGCGATTGTATTGCAAAAGTATTGCTCAATACTTTAAATCATTTATTTTAATCACTAACAACCCACAGTAATTCTTACCTTCTTATCTTCAGTTTCTAGTTCCAGACCTTTTTTTACTAGATTGCTCTCAAACGTTCGCCTTCGATCCTGAAAAACAAAACAGACAGTTGTTTCCTTTGATTCAACTAACATGAGTTTTAATGTACATCAACTTCTAAACATAGTACTTTTATATCATCTTTATGAATTATGTTACTTTTTCCAGATCAAACTTAAAGGAAGCCCATACAAAATATGCACCCAAAAGTATAAAAACAAGTAAAATATTAAACACATTGCTGGCATTTTAATTTTGCTGACAATAAATTACTGCAATAGGAATGAAGAAATGGAAATTCTTATGAATGGATTTGCATCAGGAACAATATTTTTCTTTCTTTTCTGTTCCCTTAATGGGTGTCTGGGTGTGGCTGACCTTGAGCAAGTACATTGCGGTGGGTGCTGTTGGACTATAGATATTTCTTACAATGGTACATTATGTTTTCCAACTGAAGGCTGCTGGGTTTCCATTGTGTACATTGTTTGTGTGCATGCATGCCTTCAAGTCAAGTTGACTCTTAGCAATTTCCTGGACTAGCCCCTGCAGGTTTTTTTGGCAAGATTTTTGGAAGTGGTTTCCTAGGGCTGAGAGAAAGTGACCCAGCTGGCTTTGTGCTGAAGGTGAATGGTCCCAGTCTCTTGGTTTTTAGCCTAGTGACTTAACTAATGGGTCCTCTGGTTTAAACTGAGTCAGATTTTTTCAAATCATCTTCAATTTGCTTTGGCCTTATTTTCTTTGGTACTGTTCATTGGACCTTCCCTTGTGTGGATTTTTTTTCCATAATAATTTGTAAGAAGGGTAATGTTCCACCATTCTGTATACATTTTCAAACCAAAGCAAACAGTTCTACAAATATTGTAATTGTCTTCTCTTCATTCTCCCAAGGAAGTTTCTGCAGACATCCTAGGATTATGGGTGTCAAAATGGCACCCATAACCCTAACCCTAACCCAAAATATATCACATGCAGGCCATGCCCACCCCAGCTCTGCAAATGGGAAAAACGTCACAAAACCTCATGTGACGGCAACGTGACACGGCGAGTTTGACCCCCCTGTGCTGGATTATAACTCTTCATCCCTAACCATCCAACATGGCCAAGAATTTTATTCCAGCAATTATGATGGATACCAGTTTGGGGACAGTTTCTCTACAATGTCTCTGTGTCCAGCAAGAATTCTAAATGTAGCATTCCTCTACAAATCTATTTGGGAAGCTATTCTGTGTATATCACAACAAATTTCTGATTTAAAACTCTATAAGTTATACTCCCCTGATTTTGTTTCTTTCTATACATGCTTAAACATTTGTAAAGTAAATCTGATGAATTAGATTTAAATTAGATTTAAAATGCAAACTTTGAGCCCTCAGAATTTATGTTTTAGATACAACCAACTGTTCACTAGCAACATAAAGCTTATTTGTGTTCAGTGTTTTTTGATTATCACTGAGTTCACTCATTTTATTTTATTTTTAAAAAATATTTGTTTATTAAATTTGTTTGCCACCCATATCACGACAATGCAACTGCGGAAGACTTACAACCTTAACATGACTCCATAAATATATGAATAAATATATAAAGTCACAATAAAACTACAATAAATTACAAGATATAACTAAAGATGGGGAGGAAGGAAGGAGAATATATTGGGGGAGGTGGGAACTGCTATTATTTGATAGACCATCTCCAGTATGAAATACCTCCCATTGGGGCTCCAAGTTAACTAGCTAAAGCTAGATCTTCAGGCTCTTGCAGAAGGTCAGGGGAGTAGGAACTAATCTCACTTCGGGGACCAAGATGTTCCAAAGGGCTGGGCCATGGCAAAGAAGGTTCTGGACTTCAGCTGGAATTCCTTGACTGCTGCCATCTGCAGTTTGCCTCCTCTGTTGGCATGGGTGGGGCAGGCCTGTCACTTAGATGTGAGATAGTTCCTCAAGTAACCTGGAAGTCATGTCATACAGGGTTTTATAGGTAATAACCAACATCTTGTATTGCACCCAGAAGCAAACCAATAACCACTGCAGCTCTGGAGCAGTGGTGTAACATGGGTCACTCTAAAACTGCCCATGCTGCCACACTCAGCACCAATTGAAGCTTCCAAATTCTCTTCCAGGATAACCCATGTAGAG